AATTTGGTCATTTCACGTTGTAGTCGTGCAGGGACGGCAAAGAAATGTACAAAAAGGCGTGATGCAGGGGCAGAGTTGTTGTTTCGCCAACTAAACCTATTGCTCTTTGACGTTGCCGTTGCGGCGTGGCCTTGGTAGTTTTGTAAGGTGGTCCCTTTTATTTGAATGGCAATACCAATGGATTTTGTCCACATGGTCAAGTTTGTTAAACTGCATTACATGACTTCATCATCCACTGTAGGAGCAACAATAAATGGTGTGGATTTCTGTTCTTACATATAGTTACTAAGCGTTTTTGCTTCTGAGTGACCACCATGGTTTGCTATTTAGGCTCAAATCATTCACAGGAGCTTTGACTGTATATATATGAATAATAGAGCCTATTTAACGCCATCATATCTTTTCAGGAACTTTATCAGATCTCGTCAGGAGGGGAAACAGATCACCTGAAATCCATGTTAACAAAACTTCAAGAAGAAAACAGAAAATTGAGACTGGAATACGAAGTAACAGCAAATAGTCAACCAGGTATTTGATTAATTTCATTATTAATAATACCCATCTGTCCTCCTCACTATTTAGGTTTCTGGGAAACTGCCCACCTACCCCTCCCCTAAGCTAACATTAACACTTACTTCTCACTTGGGGCAAAATGATGGCTTAGGGGAGGGGTAGGTGGGCAGTTTCCCAGACACCTAAAACTACAGTTGAAACTCCCGTAAAAGTAATCAGTCAAATTTCAAATCTTTCTGGGGAAAATCATAGCTATAAGATTAAGGACACTTAGCACTAATGTACATATGTTGTATCGTCAAGGCATATTAAAAATGCAGTGGAGGATCCGGACCTTAATGGGGGCGGTCTCAAAAAAAATTCATTTTCGGCCCTCCGGGCCTCAGTTTGGTCTAAAATTAAGGGGGGCCCCTGGACCCTTCCCTGGATCTGCCACTGATTAACGCCTTTGCTTAAGCTTCTTAATAGAAGCAACATGAATATCTGTATGTACCGGCAATAAAGTCTTCAGTCAGCAAGCTCTCTACTAGGAAATTGTGAGTAAGGGCAATGGATCCCACAAATTTTTAATGGAGAGCTTGCTCACAGGCTATCCACAATTCTAATAGTTAATACATGTTTTTTAAAGCAACGGCTTACATCAGCGCGCCTGGCGATGCGGAGTTGATGAACAAAATGAAGGAGACGATAGACAATCAGAGAGACTCAATCAGGAGTAAAAACATGGAGATCGACAGTTTAAGAAACGACCTAGAGGCGGTAGGTGGACTATTTTACTCTGTCATCCCTTATATCGACACACGAATTCTCCTCTCTTGATCTTAAACGTGTGTTTTAGAAGAAATGGGAGGAATCTCGTCAAAACCATTTAAAAGCTCAGAGTGGGAGGCCGGACCACAAACCAGGTCTTTAGAGTGGTTTTCGTTTGAGTGTCGTAAAACCAAAACCAAAGTAATTACTCTGGCCAATCACATAGGACACAGACAATACATTGAACCAATCAAAACTCGAAGTAATTACATGTGGCTGACGCAAAGCGCGGGAAAATGCATGCGAGCGCGTCACAATTGGCTTTGGTTTTACTTCTGATT